GCCGGATAGTTAGTCACGTGACACACGTGAAACCGCGTGATACCGCGTGATACTGTGACACGCCCACCGGGGTATGCCGCGAAATACCTCACCCATTTTGAATGGCTGCATCTGTAACCAGACTATTTCACATACAGTACCATCGAGGCTCTGAAAACAAAACATTGGAACACTTGTGTTCAGCATATGATGTTGCATGGAAAGTTAGTATATTATACTGTACATCAGACGCATCCACAATTGTTGATCAAATTTATTGTGCAAATCTTACAGAAGTGTTTCTGCAATTAATAAGAAGATATATGAGGAGGGTTGCATGGCGGTGCAGTGACTAGCATCACTGCCTTGCAGTGCTGGAAACTGGCTTTAATTCTAAACCCGGGGTGCTACAGTATCTGCATGGAGTTTGTATGCTCTCCCTTGGTTTCTGCAGGGTTTTTCTGGGTGCTCTGATTTACTTCCACAGTCCAAAGACAATTTTTTTTTGATAATTGCTTCTGATTGCTTCAAATATTTCTGGACACTCCACTGTCCAGAAATATTTGCACTTTACAGGTAATGGGGACTCCCCTCAACCACCAATGTGCGGCCCCACCTGGATGATGCGACTGCAGCCATAGTGTGCCAGAACACTCATCACACATCAGCTATTAGTGGGGAGGAAAACAGTGAAGAAGCCAATTTATAGATGGAGGCCATGATTGGTAAGGGCCAATGGGAAATTTGGCCAGGACACTGGGATTACACCCCTAATCTTTTCGAGAAACACCCTGGGATTTTTAATGACCACAAAGGGTCAGGATGCCGGTTTTATGTTTCAATAGAAGGTCGGTGCCTTTTTACAGTGTACTGTAGTGTCCCCATCACTATCCTGGGACATTAGGACCCACATAGACCACAGAGTGAACACCCCCTGCTGGCCCCACTAACACCTCTTTCAGCAGCAACCTTAGTTTTTCCCAGGAGGTCTCCCATCAAGGTACTGACCAGGCTCAGACCTCCTTATCTTCAGTGGGTTACCAGTTGTGAGCTGCAGGATAATATGCTGGCTTTTTAATTAACTGTTAGAGGTAATAGAGCTTCAGGGCAAATTTGGCCCTGGTGTGAGTGTGTTTGTGTGTCTGTGTTTGTGTCTGTGTGTACCTTGCTATGGACTGGCGTCCTTGTGCAGGGTGGGATCCACCTTATACTTCTTCCTTGCTTGAAAAGTCCCCAGCTCCCTCGTGACCTTGAGTTAGATAAAATGGTTAGAAAATGGATGGATGAATATCTGGAGATCCAAAGCACTGCAAGGAAAAAAAAACACCTTAATAAAAGTTCCATTGCCAGGCATTATTATTTACAAAGAGTTATCCTTAGAGCAAGGGCAGTTATTTTTTTCATACACAGATTTTTAGGATACTTTGCAACAGAAAAGTTCTGATCAAATACGCCAAATGTACAAGACCTAGCTTTTTAAAGCATTACACAATAAATGTATTGAGCTTTAACATAATCTTTTATCTCCCTTTTGAGAGCCTACGAGAGAAACAATCTGTCTCAGTTTAGAAGACAGGCTATTTCAAAGCAGCATCTGAATAAGAAAAAAGACAATTAGACAGAATAGGGTTACATGCCTGATGAAGAACAAGTTTAACCTTGGTAACATGCTCATTGATCCGAGACAATGGCCGAGAAATACTTTTAGTTGGTCTGACATCAGAAAATGTTTTTCAAGTTTGTGCTTAAGTGCAAAGGAGTTAAACTGCCAAACTGAAAAATACAATTCCACAAATTTTTAAGAGAATTTCTTGCACAGGATGATAAGGAAAAGAAAAATATGAAAATTTATTTTTGATATATATACAGTGAGTTAACTTAATTTAACAACTCCAGTCTAATTCAATATATGCCATCAGCAGATTATTTTTAACATTCACCCATGAAATCAATTATTTATTATGCAACAATGACTGCTTCACATTATTGTGTAAAAGACGATCCAAATCAAAGCTTTAACACTGTTTTACAGGGATATTATGAACTATTAGTAGAGTTTCTTAATCAATCACTTCATAGTACACATTAATAATTAATAACAATTCCTTACACTATATATATAGTGTTTTTCTGGACACTCCACTCAAAGCGCTTTACAGGTAATGGGGACTCCCCTCCACCACCACCAATTTGCAGCCCCACCTGGATGATGCGATGGCAGCCAGAGCATGCCAGTATGCTCACCACACACCAGCTATCAGTGGGGAGGTGAACAGAGTGATGAAGTCAGTTCATAAATGGGGATTATTAGGAGGCCTTAATTGTTAAGGGCCCCTTGGAAATTTGGCCAGGATGCCAGGGTAACCCTTCTAACTCTTTTTTAATGACCACAGAGAGTCAGCACCTCAGTTTTACATCAACTCAAAGGACGGCGCCTTTTTAACAGTATAATGTCCCAATCACTATACTGGGGCATTAGGACCCACACACACTGTAGGGCCCATACTGGCTTCATCAACACCTCTACCAGCATAAATCTTCCCAGGAGATCTCCCATCCAGGTATTGACCAGGCTCACACCTACTTTGCTTCAGTTCGTTGCAGGGTGATATGGATGCTTTATAGAATTATCTATGATGCTAAAGACAGGAGCAATAACTGTAGCCCCACCATTACAATGTTATATCATCATAAAAACATAGAAAAGTGGAGTAAAACACCCATAAAATTTCACAGTAAAGCATAGACAGACAATGGAAACCATGTATCAAAATCGAAAAACCATGGAAAAGCAAAGAAAATCTATAATACATACTGTGGAAAGAACCTGGGAAAAACGTATAACCAATGGCTTTACTTCATAGTGAAGAGTACTGACAGAGATGACTGGCACATTAACTAGAACTTACTTTAGGCTTATGGAACATTACCATTTGTACTATAAGTTTTCGTGTACAGTAGGTTAACTAACTCCTGGACTTCTCTCTGTGTAGGTACTGATATCACTGTGGACATGCTGGTCAACTCAGGAACATCAATTATCTGAAAGAAGTAAAACACTGTTCTGGCATTTAAGCCTTAGAGCTTTAGATATTATTTTCACCCTTTTCCAACTCTGTATTGTTTTTCTGCATTACAACTGCTTAAAAAGGGATATAGCCTTTATTGATAATCAAAAAGGAAACTGCTGCTAAATTAGTACTTGATATCTAAAAACTGCAGTACTGTACTTCTTCTGAGCACTACGAACAGAAGCAGAATGAGCTAAAATATCCAGAGGATGGATAAATGTAGATGTTCCAAGCATATATTAGAACATATGGTCTAAACAAAATGCAACTCCTATTGGATTTTATCATTTTATAAGTGTTATAAGTATTGGCCCCTTTCCTGATGTTTAGATTTTTTCCTGCTCTTAGGAGATCAAAAAGTTTCCATATTCTCGCTTATAGTATAGTGTGTTGGGCATATGATGCATTAGTACTAGTATAACTACAGACAAAAAATCCTGAAGAAGGGTTATTTAATTAAAATTCTGTTATTAAAATGTGAGTCTCTACCAATTGTGACCAAGGGTTGCGAACCAATTAACATTGTCTATTAAAATAATTACCATTGATGCCCTTTGCAAATGTGACTTGATGCTAAGTACAGGGTACACAAATGTTTTTGTTAAAAAGTGGCAGCAGTATCAAATAGATTTGTCCTTGGATATGTCCTCTTGTTCATGTGGTGCTCCACTCTTCATAGATTTCTAAAGGAAACCACAATGAATCTTACTTTCAGCTGTGACACAACTGATTCTCTCCCTTTTCATTAGGGTTAATTCACTGTTTTTGAAACAAGTTCCTCTTTTAGCTGTAGCTTTGACCAGCATATCAAAGAAAAGAAAATCTGTTTTTCTTCTAAATAGAAAACTAGATGTTTTCTTAAAACCAGCTATAATACATGGGTTTATCTACAGTTTCATGTCCTGTGTTTGCGTCTAAGAACCAAATTGTTGTCACTGAATTGGTTGATAGCTTGGTTACTAGGTATATAATGCATCTGCAAATACTTGCAAGATAAGCAAACATTATTGAACTTTCAAAATCATAATCAAAATCCATTAAATGTTATCAAGAATGACATCTTGGAAATCATGGCGCTCATATGTCCTGAAAATCACTTTGTCTTCATTATTTCAACTTCTGTTGCAAACCAGTATACTCCAGTGAAACATACAAAGTGCATTAAATTCAGTTCCGTTTGACCAAACCACTTTAGTCATATTCTTTCAAGCACATCAACCTTTTTGACATACTCTGGAGTCCTGTGTAGTATTTGTTTGTTTTTTCTACCATAACAAATCATATGTTTTAAAAGAAAAAGTAGACATAATCACACATGTCTATGATAGTACAGTAAGCATAAACATGCACATACAGTATATGGAAAAATATAGCTCACTCCAGTCACGTTTTGTACTTAGCAGTCAAATGGTTAAACAAAAAGGAAACCAGCAAATCTCTTCATATGAAAATTATGGAGTAAGAAAATAATTGTTGACTTTTACCATAAAGTACCTTTAAAACAAACTGCCGCTCATGTTCTTTGTACTGTATATTGTTATGTTTGTAAGCTTATACTACTGTACATACAATTACAGCTTAATGCATACAGTATCTACAGTATAGACAGACTACAGAATTATCCAAACATTTGCATATAAAGGCAAAACATACAGTAGTTTACAAACCTGTGATGTAACAAAATCACACCTAATTTTTTTTTTCATTTCCTCCGAATAAAGTTTCCTTTCTCAGTAAAAATGATTTTCAACCAACTAAACTTGGAATCCGGATAAATAAAAATTGGCTCAACATTTCATAGCTCATAACTTTCAACAAACAGGCAGCAGGCGGCAGTCCCCTTTCCCTGAAAGAGTTAAAACAGAAAGGAGTGTGGGGTCGCCTTACCAGTGATATCTCAGTCCAGTTCCCTCTAACAGGCCGACCCATCCAACAGTGAGGCACTTAGGGTTAATATTTTAGCGTGTAGTAATGTCCCCTGCTCTCTCCCATCAGCATCAGAAACTGCAGTCTCCCTCACTCTTTGCCACTGCAGCAGAACAAGCTCTCCTTCTCTCTCTCTCCCTCAACACCCCCCTCCTCTCAGTCCCCTCCTCTCTTTACTTGCCTCCCCTCTCTCTTGATTCACATCCCCCCTCCTCCTGTTTCTCCTCCCTTCTTTCTCTGCCCCCCCACCATCCCCCCCGTACCTCCCTCTCTTGCTCTGCCTCCTGATTTGTGATGCTGCTCACACAGTGCTGCATGCAGTACTCTACGCCCTGGTCCAACATTCAAGGGCAATCCTAAAGAATCAATATGCAAAACTATCCCCCGAGGACTTGATGCTGGTACACTCCAACCTGCGTTAGTCGAGGGGAAAAGAAAGAAAAAAACACACAGGCTGTTACTCAACTCCAAGGCATACGCTGCAGCAAACCAGCTACTGTACTGTATGTGCCATTGAGAAAGTAACAACACTTATTTCTGAAGCACTGCTAATGGTTATATAGCCAGGCACTGGGTGCACACACTGGTCATCCTCAACCAGTTCACTACACATTTATAATGTTCTTTTCAGTTATTTAATGTAGTGATGTGATCATTTCACTCTCATCCCTCCACTTTAACTATTACAATGAACATTAAATTTGTCCCTGTCATTGGTTATTGTGGTTTTTGTTCTTGCAGCATTTGAGTTTTTTTTATCCCCTTAACCCACAGGATAAAATACAATTTGTTTTCACTTACACTGAAAGAACAATCCAATGTCTAGACATACAGAATAAAACTGGCTTACATAGAAGAAAATTGGAGAGGTTGCAGAAGAGAATAAAGGTCATCCATGTCTCTATGTGTCTGCTCTTTACTAATAATGCTCTAAACCTTAAAAACAGCATCAACAGCTTTTACATGTATCAGTCTTAACAGCCAGCATTACAGATCAATTACAAAGGGACATGATGTGTCAAGGATGGTTCAATGTTAGAGAAAAGTCAGGCTTCTTTCTGTTTAGTTGTGTTTTGTATAAATCTAGTTGAGAATCTCTATAGTCATTATTTCATAAAGTACTGTATTACAAATGGTTTATGTGCCAAATTTTAACTTTTTTGTATTTTTCATATTATATCTGCCCAATACGAAATCGCCAGTTGTTTCTTGTCTTACAGCAATAATTCCTGTACTTCAAGAGAAGAATGAG